CTAGCAACAACTAAACCATCAGTGTGTTATCATTATTATTCTCATACTAAATCTAAAACACAGCACTATGCCAGCTACAAGGGAGAAAATTAACTCTGTCCTCCCCTGTCCTGGTTTCGGCTGGAACGGGTGAAGAGAAAGATCACAAATGTCACAAATTAGAAACAAACCCTCTCTTTTATTGAATTTTATACTGTTACACAATCAAAAAGAAATACAGTCACAAGTATGTCAAAATGTTTCAAGAGAAATATCAATTGCAATACGTTTTACTTGGTTCCAAAAAAGAATTCCATTAAAATATACCACTTCTTCGTGAGAGAATACTGCTATTATTCACAAAATCTACCATACTGTATAAATCCAGTAGCAAACTCTCAAACTTTTTGGTAACTTGGCAAGCCTTGTTCAAGGTAAACAGGGAAGCAGAAGGAAAATGACAACTCATTTCTAGAATTTGGATCAAAAAAATCACAGTTCTCCAGAATGGAGCTTTCCAGGGATTCAAGTGCCTAATTGCTAATGGTGTTGTTAATGAAAGCTGGATACCCAACTGACATGAAGTTCTATGAAAATGGTCTTCCTGGGAAGTACTCCTGGCCTGTGGAATGTTTGTTTTCATGCTGGACAAGTGCAGTTTGAATCATGTGCGTAAGTGCAGTGACATTTGAGTGAGATGTGTGTTCTGTTCGTTAGCAGCTAATCAGCAGGGATGGGAACAGATGCTTGACCTCGGGCACGTCCAGCTATAGCCTGGTTCACAGTGCTTGGGAACTCCCCACTTCCACAGCGCTCTTCAAAGGAAACAGTTCATTCAGCAGTGTAACAGTGGAGAAAGCTTGCCAACAGATACTGTTGAAACAGCCCACATTTCTGCCTTTAGCTACCATTGTTTAGCTGTTTAATTAAACAGCTTTTTAAATAATGAAAAATTACTATTAAATGTGCAGTAGTTTAACCTGATTCCTATGTTGTATTTCATTGCAAGCAGAGCCGACCAATTAATCCAAAATAAGCTTTGAAGTCTTTAAATTGTCACTAGGGTTACATGTAAAGTTTTAATTGTCCTTTCTGGCCTTAATCTGTGATTCTTTTATTCAGTAATTACTTAGGGAGAGTTTAATGTGTGTACACAGACACACAGGAAAGGAAACTGAGTAGCAAGTTGTTTCCATTTCACCCAAAGGTTTTCAAAGATCAACATACAGACCAAACCTGTCTCACTACATGGGAGGAAGGTATGTTAGAAAGGTGTACTTTGGACTCCAGGCTGCCTTAATTTACTCAGTATATTACACCTGAGATCAAGTTACTGGATTGCAGACTTAAGTGACTTCTTGGGAGCTACAGCTATAATCATAACTACTTTCAGGTAAAGGAAGGAATGATGTTGTCATAAATACTACTTTAAAAATTCCTTTCCCTTTTAACAAAACCATCACTGTTGTTGATAAAAACATCAATTAGAATCCATACGTAAAAATAATAATTGTGCTACACCATGAAGAAGGCATAGTTTGGCTACTGCTGTAGTCACAATAACCTTCTGGAAGCTAACTTTGTTATTCTCCTCAGTTTATCTTTCCACATAATCTAGCATGTTTCATATGCAGAAGGAAACCCTATATCTACCTACAGTTTCTTCTTTACTACTGGTGAAGAATAAATGCTCTAATGTAGTGCTTCAACATTTTAAAAGGCAGAAAGTCAAAGAAATTATTCAAAATCACTAAGAAAAGCTTCTAGAATACATTAATTTCTAAATGTTGTCCTCCAAAGTAGGTTTAGAATCATGCTGTGTATTCCTAGAGTCTAAGAAAAAAAAAAAAAAACCCAAACCAACCAACCAAACAAAAAAAGCAGGTAAAAGGTGTACTTCTAGATATTGCAAACTCACATCTGCATTAGGCAAAGCTCTAACAAGGCCAGAGCAATTGTACTGTTATTTTTCCATGCTTTCTTCAATGTCTCTAGGTGGTTTGGTTTTTGTTTGGTTTTTTGTTGGGTTTTTTTGTTTGTTTTTCCTAAACCAATACAGCTACTGCAGTTCATTCCATTAATTGCTTGAGTCACTTTTACCAGGACAGTAAGCAAAATGCTATGCCTTGTTATTATGCATAATAAAAATGTGATAGTTGGGAAGATTCTTAAATGAAACATGGCTCATTTAAATCCACAGCTGCTGTCATTAAGACCGGAGATGATTCCAGCAGGCTCATAATCATAAATCATGTGGGTCACTTAAGTTTTCCTCCTCTTCTTAACATGGATTTTTCTCTATGAAAATTTACTGACCTCTTAAACTACACTGAAGAGGAACTGACAGATCCAAACAGGTCAGGCTCCTCCAAAATAAGGTCAAGAGAGTAGCAGAACAACATCAAGCAGGAAGGTATGAAGTTTCTCTTGGGAGATGAAAAGGGATAACCCACCAGGCCAGCTCAAAGCTTGCCAGGGCAGTAAGAAAAGCAGAACCCACTTGTACCTTTCACATGTCTACAAGACTCTCCTCACTGTCTCACAGAAGCATCACATCAGTCCATGCAGAGCTAAGCATAAGGGATGACCCTACCAGCTGGTGCTTTACCCGGGCCTTTAGCAACTTCACTATTAAACCTTTTAACTGCTGACAGAGATGCCATGGAAAGAATGCCATCCAAGAAACTCTCACACAGAAGGTACACAGTAGCTCTGCTGCTTTTATCCAGAGAACTTTAAGCTTTGTACACTTAAAGGCTGCATTAAAAATCTTTCGTATTCAAAATGTTCTCTGCACAAAGCTTCAACTCTAGCTTAGTGGACCTATGTTTCCTCCTCTCTTTGTGCAACTTCTGCTCAAACTGTACGAAGTATGCAACCATCTTCTGCTACCAGTGCCTTATCTTTTTTCAGTTGGTAGCTAATAGTCTCCATTAAGTTTAATTAACACAGTTGTGTCACTTTGAAAAGTGCTCATTTCAGTGAAACAGTTAACAGTAATTTTAGAGAACAGGTTAAGCTTATGTACCATTACACTGATTTCAGAATAGTCCAATGAAACCAAAGTTTCCAAAATAAACCCAAAATAATTATTGTGACACTCCACATCTGATTTCTTACACTGAGATAAGGGTTTTTTTAAAATAGTTTGAAGAATGCACACAATATCTTGACCATATTTACATATTACAAGGTTGTATCAGTAGCATCATGTTTTATGACAGCGAATGAGAAAAGTCACCTAGTCAAAGTTACTGAGTCAACAGCACAAGAATGTAGAACAAGCTTTATGATTAAGTACCAGCTTAATTTTTTAATCATGCAGTTTTGTGATAAAAATCCATCTTTAATCGACAACTCCTGTGAATTTTACTTTTTCCTGCTTTCCAGCGTTACCTTGATAAAGCTTCCAGAGACAAGCCTTTAAGCTGTTCATAAGGAAGAATCTTTTCCACTCTAAAGTAACATAAATACACTGTCTCCTCACTTTTGAGTTTGCTAACTGGTGTGATAACAGATTTAGAAGTTTAACATCTTTGGCGAGCGGTAGTACAACACTGTCTAGGAGACCTCAGTACTGAATAGGCTCAAATAGTTAACATGGAGATGTTACAATCAAAATAAGGAAGCAGTGATTTCCAATCAACTCTAAGTTAAAAAGGGAACACGGATGAACAATAACCACTAACAAAAATATAAATTATCTCATTTCTCTCAGATAACACACTCCCCAAGGGGGCCTGGTCCACATATAGTTTATTGATGTAAGAAAACAATACAGTTAGTGTTAGATCCAACCACAAAGAGCAAAAGAATGAGTGATGAAGGTTTTGTACAGTACATATAGGAAAATAAGATGTTTGTGACAGCTATATTTCTAAATAAAAAGGCTTCTAAATATATTCAAGTTACTGAAATCTACATGAAAACATATGGTTGTTAATAGCAACAAGGTGCATAAAACCCAAAACATCAAAATATTGAGCAACTCAATGAAGTACTAGATAAAACTTTGCTAACAATGCAAGATGTTTTACAATCTACTTGAAATATCACCTATACCACACAGGGTAAGCTGAACATTTAGATTTAAGATCATACACAATATTAGCATTAACTTCAACAACTACAGGCAGGGAATTTTTTTTTTTTTTTTAAGCTGGCAAAGTGACTACTTTAAGAACATCAAACTCTCTAAATTGAGAACGTATCCAAATAAAATGCTGCTAGCCCTTTCCAGATAAAGCCTTTCCTTTGACTAACCACACTTATTTAAGTCAAAAGCATAAGACAGCATTTAAGAACAATTTATATTACAACGTGACTAAAATAATGACATAATCCAGGTTTAAACACTATTTCATAGGCAAACAAAAGAAGATTCTTCTTAAAAACTATTTTTTATAAATGCAGAATATATTGCATGAGGAACTGCTGGTATTTTTTTTAAGAAAATATATTGTGCGATTGTGGCTACAATGCACTGCTGCAAAGCATTGTTGCTTCTTATAAAAACTATTAAAATAAAAAACTTATTTCAACATAAAGAGTAAGAGAGCATGAGTCTTCCAACTACATATGAAGAGCAGGATGGAAGTATTGCCAGTTTTTCCTGTGTTGACATTTAACTAATGATAAGTTTTGGTGACCAACTCCCCAGCCAAAAAATAAATATTTTTTTAAAATCAGGTGCATATTTCAAAGCTGCTGTTGCAAGTGTGTTTTAAATGTAATGGACTTAAAAGTGTATGTACCAAAGAATTATAAAAATGCACTATAGTTTGAGTTATTGTTACATAAAGAACATATTAAAAAGACTGTCAAAATAAGTAGAAAGGGGATCAAAACTGAACTAACTGAATTAGTGCAGTACTGTAGCCAGGCTTCTAAAATCAGATATAGAAAATATAAATAGACTGCTTTAGGTGATGATTCACCAGTGTCCAAAAAAGGAGCAAGTATTGTGAAAGCTCAGTTAACTTGATCCAGAGCTCTGAGCAGTTCTTCACCCTGTAGCAGGTTTCTGTTGCCTTGTATGGGAGCATTTACTTCGCAATCGTAACTTGTGAGTTGGGGTAGTCCACTTTCATCCATCGACTGCCCTAGAAGTTTACTTGCTATGTCTAAATAGGGAGGGGAAGGAGAAAAAGTGCACTTTATTCGCCATGCTTAACCTTTCCTCCAAAATTGTTCATAAAGGAGGTAAAATTGGATATGTTTTTGTCACTCAGTTCTTTCACACAGCCCCCCTCCAGCCCCCTCTATATACTGAAAGAAGCTACTAACCAGTTGATAGTAGAATGATTGTCTTTTGCTCCACTCCATTATGGCCATTTGTTTTGCATCCCTTTACACGTTTCCAAGCAAGTGATGCATTTCCTCCACGGTCACCTGTCTGCTGGAATAAAGACCCCTAGAAAGAAATAAAATAAATCTTCTTTATTGAATACTATATCTTTCTAGCCTTCCACGTCCCTCTTCCAAACTAACAGTTCCTGACACTAATTACTAGTGTAGGCATTGTTTTAAAGTGGACTTCATTCAGAACTTGGGGAGAAATACATTTCCAAGTACACTGGCCTTGAAAATTATTTAAAAGAAAACTGAATCAGATTTCAAGACCTTACTTCCCTTAGAGAAAACAATTACTAAATCCTGGTTATCATCAGTTACCATGCTCAAGATTAGCATGTACATGTACATATACACACCCATTTAATTACCACTGCTCTTGTGTGAGTAAGCATCAGGTTTTCACTGAAGTCTCTAATGGTTTTCTGCATGGGAATTAATAGCATAGACAGGAGATTCAGGAACCTCGGTAGGTCGATTCTATCTAAATTTAAGATGTAAATTCTGCTTGCACTCCAGTTATTGCCACCAAGCCATCTGACCCAAGTCTTGTGGGGAATGCAGTCCTAAGCCATTCTATTGCAGACATGGCTCCTTAGCATATTGTTTTGACAGCAGCATAGAAGATATGGAGATTAGAAAGCTTTTAAGGGCTCCATATAATTAGGATAAGTAAGAAGAAGCTGCCACTGAAACAGATGGGATGGGAGGAAAAAATGCCATCTTAGTATCAAGTTTGCTAGCGAAAGTAGTTGGATCTGCACAGTGTTGTCTTGTTAGTAGTACTGACTGGTGCAAAAAGAGGAAAAGGTATTTCAGAATGCTGCCATTATCCTGAACACTTAAAATAGTAAAGAACATAGGTTTTCAGGCTATAAAACATCCATGCAAAGTCAAAAGGACAGTTGTATAATAGAAGTTATAGTTAAACAACTCGGACTTAAAAGCTGCATTTCGTAGTAAGGTCAGTCACCTACATTGTTGCTGGTTTATTTTTTTTACTGTGAATGCAATACAGCCCTTCATATTAAGACAGACACAGCTTGTATCTTTTTCAATGTAATGATTTAGATCATTATTTCATAATCTTACTAGAATACAACTTGCCCTTGTCTAATTCTCCTGTTTTCTAGAAAACTAAGGTAGTATTTTACTTTGGTCTTCACTTATTTTCACTCTTTGCAAAGTAAGTCCCACTTCCTTACAGCTAAGAAGTTGTGGCAAGTTTTTGCACAATCCCAGAATACCATGTATCATAAGCCTGGACTTAACATCATTTTTCTTCTGTGCGTGTGCAAGGCCTAGTTCATCCTCTCAGAAATCCATTGTGGAGAAAGAAGCCAAACAACAAAAGCACTTGCTTGAAATAACGTCAGTAAGACCCAGCTACATGGGAAGTTCAGCTTCTGACTGTGCAGAAACCATCAAAATATTTGTAACACTTTTGTCAGATACAGAAAAAAAGAAAAAGGTTTAGCAAAGGATGACGTTTGAACCTGTAAGCATTAAAAAGGCAATAAGCATAGAAGCCTGAACACTATTACAGCAGTTAATACAGAACTGCTTGTGTTCTGTGTATTTAATGACAACCCATGCTACTTTGAATATTTTGTCAGCAATACTATATGACAGCCGTAGCACCGTCACATGAGAAAAAGGCAATGGAAGGCAATAAAATTTCTTGCAGAGCTGTGAATTCTTACAGGGCTACTGGAAGCAACAGAACAACATGCATGAAAGTGCAAAGCATTTAGCAAATGAAAACAATGGCATAAGTATGATTATTTGTTTTTTAAATAAAGTCTGCTTGTCTCATAGAAAAAAATGGACATATTAAAGCTCTCTCAGCTCTTCTAGAGGAGAGCAATGATAAAGAGAGTATACAGTGATTTGTCTCATGTCCAAACCAGAATGCTAATACAGGAACAAATTCATAGTTCAGAAGAAAAATAATCCTGCACTGTAAGACATGATGGATGGCTACACCTAGGAGATGGACCACGAGGGAAACAAAGAAACTCAGAGGCTACATTGCAGTAGAGGATCTAAGAATTAACTGTGCAAAACTTAAGTGGGAATTGGCAATGAAGGCAAGAAGAGAGATAACAGTATATAATGGCAAAGCTCAAGATTTCAAAATACAAAGAACTGACAGTAAGAGCCAAAGATTATGGAGACAAAATACCCTTGCAGAAAATAACAAGGTGGATAGCCCCAATTAAGTGACACAAATCTAAGCATACCTAAAAAGTTTCTTTTGAATAGCTAGGACAGATGCTGATGAGCTACTCACAGTCGCACACACTAATACCAGAAAGCGTGTGCATGAAATTAAAATGGTAGTAATATACATTTGCTAGGTTATATGAATTTTATTCCCTTATGGTTCAGATGGTCTTGTGATTTGATCAAATAAAGGAATCTCAGACTCGATGGGAAAATGAAAGCACAGAAAGAAACATAAGAACACTACCTCCGGTACTGACAAATATGGAAATTGAGTTTGAATTCAAAAGTGAAATAAATATGGCAATTATAAATTTAAATGTGATGTCTTCCATTTATGCATATTCTACTGAAGAATATGTAATGTTCACAAAAGAGGATCTTCTACCTAATCAAGAAATGTGCTTGGGTATAGAGGGCACTTTTGAAACAGCTGACAGTAAAAGAGAACTAAAATCAGAGCATCTGCATATGTATGGGAATTTCACTATCGAACAATTACATCTGATCCCAAGATTCCACTGCATACCAACAGCTAAACTCAGGAGTCTGCACTGATGCCTCATTTCAGAAATTGCAAGGTTAAAAGTGAATATTTTAAAATGGTAAAAACAAAACTCACAATTCCAACTGCCTGAAAAAGTGAACCATCATGTTCCATTTTTCGTTTTCTCTGAGCATTATGCAAAGCTAGCATCTTTGGATTTAGTTCTTCATCCATTGCAGTAGATCTAAGAAAAATTGATTCAGGCTGTTAAGACGTTTCTACTATCCTCAAGCCATTCTTCTGTTGTGGACACTTATATACAATATCACAGAACTGAATTTATGAACTATACTACTTTTCTTTCATAATTGAGTCATTTCAACAATCATTGTCAATGAGCATAGCAAATGTTAGCTTTTAATCTTGCTGTGAAGCTCGGAATGAGTTATAACAAAAATTTTAAAGTCTTTGCAGAAAAAAAAAACCAAAGCATAAAAGTTCAGCAATTCACTTCCAACAGAAAGAAGGGAGGGAAGGGTGAGGAAAAGTCTATTCTGAATATTTCTATGTACAGATAAAGCTTCTATGTATCAAAGGTCTGATGATTGACTTTGTAGGATTTTCTATCATGACAAATATCTGCTACAAATGCCACAGTCCATCAATCCGAAATACGACTCACTTTAAAAGCAATACATGTAGCACACAGACTGCAGTCACCTCTTACCTCATAACGAAGCAGACAAGGAAAGCACCAGAAATATTGTGTGGGTATAACTACTTGTAAATAGCCTACTGCCTTCTTTTAAAAAGGCTGCATGTCAGATACAAGAGCAGAACAGAATTATGAACACGGTTTGCATATAGCAGCTGCCTATTACATAAGACATTTATGTAAAAGCTACTGTGAAATTAACTTAAGGGAAGCTTACTACATCAAAAAGATTTGTTTGAAATGTCCAAATTTAAACATATGAATTTCTACTTTAAGTAGAATGCTGAAGACAACATACAACAGTTAGCAGTATTTAAAAGCATATTATATCTAATTTCTTTGACAGATAATAGGCCTTAAGCTTCACTTCTAAAATACCTTTTATTCAGAGTGACTGTTAGCAAACTGGGCACTCCTGGACAAGATTTTTCCGTCTGATCCAATGTTCCTTTTCCTGCTCTGATCGGAGATGCAGTTCGACTCCTGTTCCCACCGTAAGGCGACGCTGGAGCACTACTCGTTTCACTGATTATGTGGACAGGAGATGAAGGAACAATTAGCGTCTTCACATCATCCACACGTTCTGCCACCGGTTTTATTTCATCAGCAGTACTTGATGGTGTCTGAGTCTGCTGAAATATAGTAATGGTGGCTGCATTTTGAGAGCCGGAAGAACTGCTTTCCAGCGGAGATAGCTGATCAAAGGATCGCAACTGGAAGTCATCATCCATTGGGATGTAAGGAGCCAACATCTCCAAATCTAAATCAGTTTCCTGGAAAACACAAGAGGTAAAAATTATAAATATGTCAGAACATGTCAGCTATGACTTCATGGCTTCATTAAGGCTCTTCCTTTTACCAAATCCTTACGAGACTTTTTGTAATATTTTTATTAAAATAAATTGCATAAAAGAGGAAGGAGGTTCCTGAAGACATTCTAAGAGACAGAGAAGCACATTGAGGATACATATTAAGATGACAGAGAATTTTAGATTAATGGACATTACCTGAGTAGAGAATGGATTTTTCGCTTCTGTATCTATCGCAAAGAGTTTCTCCACTAATTCCAGTTTGAATTCATTAGCCATATCATTATCCACATCAAAGCAGTAGTCGTTGGGACTACTGGGCTGTGAAAACAGTTTGAGTGCAGTTTTAAGTTTCTGTCATTACATCATTTTGCATTGCACCTACAGATTCTCTGAAAAACGTTCTAATGTAAAAACTAATTCCAAGCTATAGTTGCACAAAATTAAAGTGGGAAAGGAAAACACTTGAATGCACACCGATAAATGTAAATTTACCCCACTTGGGAAGCACACGATTAGTTGCAACCTGGTGTGAGGGTCAAAACAGCTGAACGTTTGTCTCAAAGCTTGCCCACATGAAGCGAACAGAATCTTGCAGGAAATGGTGCAAGATGTCACCTGCTCACACAACCACCAGGACGGCAGCAAGGCCATAGTAACATCACCCACCACCAAAGACCCCAGAAGCACGGACCCCCGGGACGCCGCGGATCCATGGTGGTGACTATTTGCACTCTTCTATCCTGAACGCTTGCTTAATTTTCCATCTTGCCTTCCTTTCTTTTCTATCGCTCTTTCTCTTTCCTCTGAGTGGTTAATAAACGGGTGGACTTAGGACATCTGACCTCGTTTGTGTCTGAATCTCGCTTGAAGGGATCAAACCTGAAATGAGAGGTTGGTCTAGCCGCCCCTAGCCTCCCAGATTCGTCTGAGGTCGGTTAGAATGCAAGGGGGCCTTCCTCTCATCCAGATCGGATCCTAACACCTGGAAGTAGCCTCTACAGTAATTTATTGCAACTAATTTGCTGTTTACAGAAGTTGTCTCTGAACCATTCTTTTCTAGAAGGACCAATCCCAAGCTGCTCTTATTTGTATCGGATGTTATTGCATGCATTTGCAAGACTTACTTTCATGAAAAGGTAGTTCTCAGTATGAAAATTTTTTGAAAATCTTTTTCCACAGATCATGGTGCAAGCTTAACTAAGTCACAACTTAAAAATAGTTTTAAATTCCTGTCTTGGCTACATCCTTAACCAGATTTGCTCCACAAGTCCCAACAGCACATACATGTTAATGACAGTGTATCCAAATTACGTAACTAACCTCAGGTGAACTTTGGCTGGTACTTGCATCAGAAGGGCTGGTTGGTTGCTCTTGCACCTGAGGCATGGTAAAAGAAAGTTCGAGTGGCTCTGTGTTTGGCTCCAGCTTTGATACAACTTCTCTATTGAGTGCAGGATCAGCATTGCTACGAAGTGGCTTTGTGGTTTCAGAGGCAGGTAGTGGGGACATTGCCATATTTATATTCTGCAATTTCTCACTGGATGAGGGGAGCATTACATCGTTATACAAAGGAACTTCATCACATTGTTGTTCATCAGACTCTATAAAAATTAAAAGAAACCATCAACCTAAGTAACAATACTGAGTGTGTCTACGGACCTCATTAAATTTAAACAGTGGCTGAAATACCACGAGGCAAGTGATATTGGGAGGTTATTTTTTCAAAATATACTGTAAAATACTAACTTTACTAATTAGCATACTCTCCAATTTAAACACACACCCACCATTATTGCTGAAATCTAGAGAGATAATTGTGTCTCCAGCAGCTGGGGCCAGCACAGTTAAAGCATCTGGTTCCTGTTTAAGTTTTTCAAAAAGGCTGTTGGTATCATCCAGGTCATCTTTGCTGAATATTTTGGTCATTTTCATATCAGGAGACTCCACTGGTTTCAGCATACACTCAGTTTGTCCAAGGGAAAATATCAAGTCCTTCTGAACAATTCCACTGTCAGACAGAGAGGAAGATAACTGTTAGAGAATAGCTAAAAGGAATTAATTTGGGCTTAACAGTTTTGTAAGTTACAAAGTGATTTAAAAAAAAAAAAAAAACAACCCAAAAAAACCCCAACACAACACACCAGAAAACCACCACACACCACAACACAAAATTACCACAATGGGAGCTTTAAGAATTCTTTTTTTCCTTACTCATTCTTTCCTCAAATGTAATAGACAAAGTAAGCACTAATTGTGGTGCCACCAAAAAAAGTAATAAAAATAAATATGCTTTTCTGAACACATAGAGAAAGAAAGAAAAAATGTATTTCCTAAAACACTTCTCTTTGTTTTAAATGAATGTACAGTATGTTGATAGACTGATACTGGTACATTCACTAAAGTTTTGAAAAACTAATTTAGGACTGTTACACAGTTGCAGAAAAAAAGTCAACAAGTCTGCCTTCAGTTGAAGCTTGCAATTAAAAGAGGAATTCTAAGGAAGAAAAAGATAAATGGGATTAACAAAGACACCCTTACTGCTCCTCTGACTCCATGACTAAAAGTCATCAGTGAAATTAACTGCTCCAGACTGCAGACAAAGATTAGAGAGCTGTCTAGAATGCACACAGATTCTGAAATGCTTCCACCACAACAGTCCAGAAGAGGCTGGCCCTAGACTCATTTGCCTGCAAGAGATCTTCCCACTGACATCACTAGATCAAAAAAGTGTTTTGTTTTCAAATACAATTCCTAATCCTAGGATCGGCAGTATTCTAAGCAAAAAATTCACTGGTAGGAAAAATAGTAACATCATAACATATTCAACAGGGGACCAGATTCTCATTTGGGGGAAAAAAAAAAAAAAAGACATCATGCCATCAGTATCTGACTTCATCTTCAATAAAAAATGATGACAAAGAATAGCAACATCCACTCAACTTACCTCAACACATAGTTTACGCACACTATACACTGTGGCTGAGAATTCTTAGTGTTGTATATAACAGTTGCTTGAGTTTCAACCCAGACATAGCCACCTTGTTTAGCAAGCATTCTGTACTGTCCTGTTGTCACCTGCCCTTTTGTGAACACTAAAAGCAGAAAGGACACCAGCTTTAATTACAGGCAGAAAAAAAGGAAACCGTTTAAGATAAGTATTCACTGCAGATTCATATCTGCAATTAAAAGAAAGCCCTCGTTCTGCTGCTGCTTTCCCCTGGTGCTGTATCTCATCTCTTATAGTTGGAGGGCTTTAAATACATCTTTTCACTTACTATCATGGTGTGTTTTGGTCAGATGATCAGAATCCAGCGCATGATAGTACTCATAGATTGAGCGACCCAGGAGTTCCTCTGGCTCATACCCCATCAACTCTGTAATTCTTTAAAACACGGGAAAAAAATTGCTAAGTAAAAGCAGACATGGAGTAGCACAAATACTAGAGCATTTAGGATTTTTTTGATGTACAAGCATCCAAGAGTCACTTCCATACACGTTAGCAGCAATTTTGGTTTACTGGGAGTTTTCATCTTGAAAGAAATTGCTATTTTTTATGCTTCTTTAAAAGAGAAATTTCAGCAGGCATAGGATTTTACTTCTCATTGAATATTTATAAATCATGTTCTGTGGTGGACAGGATTAAGTAAATCTCTGCTTTCTAGACTTTTTTTTTTTTTTTTTTTGCTTAAAGGTAGACCAGCTACTTATGGACTAGCATATCCAGCTTACAGAAATATGATAATTTAATAAAAGACATGTTCAACTGTTTTAAACCGGCAACTAAGAGAAATTAGGAAGCAGATTTATTCTTCCCACTGTCAACCACTGCCAGATTTAAAAAAAAACCAACCAAAAAAACACCACAACAAAACAGTATTTTTTTCAACCCCCAGAGGGCAGTGCTAACCAGGGGAATGCATTTCTTTTGCCCTATTCTACATGCAGAATGTGACCAAGTAAGTACCCTTTATGGGACACCATCAATCCTAGAAAGCTAAAGTTACTGCAGAGGACAGAAAATAACCTGCACTAACATCTCTCTGCATCTAAACTGCAGCAACTAATTAGAAGTTCATTTTTGTTATAAAGAAAAGGAAACAGGCAGTAATAAGTAATACCCAATTAAAAACACAAAAAAAAGCCAAACCAACCAACCAAAAAATACCAAACAACAAAAAAAATCCTCAGGCCAATGATTTCCTTCACGTTTTTCACATTTGTCAAGCTCAGTTTCCAGAGGATAGTAAGAGCAGTCTTATCACAGAATGGTTTGGGCTGGAAGGGACCTTAAGGATCATGTAGGTCCAACCCCCCTGCCATGGGCAGGGACACCTTCCACCAGACCAGGTTGCTCAAAGCCCCATCCAACCTGGCCTTGGACACTTCCAGGGATCGGGCATCCACGACTTCTCTGGGCAACCTGTTCCAGTGCTGCACCACCCTCATAGGAAAGAATTTCTTCCTTATATCTAATCTTATGTATTTGACTGCATCCATGATTTGTACCAGAACACAAAATCTCATTTTCGACAGATGTATTGTATTAAAAGTACAGCTGAACTTTTGGGGGGGTTTTGGACTAGCGAAAGCAGACACTGACCTCCTGAGGAAGGGAGAGGGGGGAAGCAGTAGCAATAAAATGTACCTGACAAATATTACACACACACACACTCTTTTCAGTCACCAAAATGCACCACCATCTTTGACAAGCCTAAAATTCTTCCTGTTTTTTCAGTGTCCAGAGGTATCTTCATTTCAATTTAATTGCTGTCACTACACTAAGACCAGTTGAAAAAGGCAGTTAACTGCAGGCAATGGATTTATTCCAAAGTAATAACCCTGCACCCTCCTTAGATTTAAAAATCTGGCTTTTAAATAAGACATCCTCATCAGTTAGTAAAAGCCAAAGCATCCCAGCGATGATTCCATTGCACAGATGAATCAAGTTAACAAGACTACCTAGATGTATAAGGCCAACATGTACCAACCCTGCAAATCCTTCAAATGAATTAATTTGTTAAGTACGAAATATCTATTACCTTTCATCACAATAGGAAAATTTCATATCGAGACTGTGACGACTGAGGAACGTTTTACTGTCCAAGGGGACCTCAATGTTTGATGGATGAGGAATAGGTTCACAGATCAACACCAGACACGTCATGGGAGGCTTTTTGTAGCCACAGTGAGTTTGATTACCACATGTGTCATATACACGAATGTGTCCAGTGCAGTGCAGTACCTATGGGAAAGTTGAAAGTTAAAAAGAGACCAGGTTCTTGTCTGTCAGACAACATAACCATATTTCCACTAGCACACCCGGAGTGAAGTCCTTCCCCTCCCCACCCCTCGATGCGATAGCAACAACAGGAAGGCAGCAGTGCTTTCAAATGGATGGCTAAAGGAGAGCGGCAGTTCTCACACTACGAAGACTGCGATGAGCACACAGGCTGCCAACTCTTTCCTCTCAGGCACTGGCTGAAGCAACGCTAGACATGTCTGCATTTCTGTGAACTGTTCTTCTTTGAAAGCTACATTAATGATGACACTGATGAGTAATTGCCCCAGCAAAAGGTGTCTTACTATTTAAATTTGAAAGTTACAGTAATAGTAGCAACTTCCATTTTAGATCTGCAGAACTGATGTTAGAGAACAAATATATACTTCAAGAGACAAGAAGTTTTGCATTTTGGGTTTGGTTTGGGTTTTGTTTTTTTTTTTAACCATTCTGAAGTAGAAACTGTTCACAGACAGCAGCAAAGAAGAAATAAGTTGTTTCATCCAGAATAACTAAATTTAAGTAATAGGAGAGAATTGTGAGCCTAATACCACTCGATACAGTAAAAGGTTACTTTTTGCCCAGAGGAGAAAATGCATTCACTGCAGAAAGTTATCAGGCTGGGCTCTTTTTGTTCCAACTGTTACAAAAGGGATAGCCAGCAGCTTCAGCAAGAGTGGTATTGAAGTCCTTCAGAGAGACCTCAACTGTCACGTTTACAGTGTCAAATCAAAAGAAATCAGGTATCAGCATAAGTGGTATCAAGTATTTTTTTCTCAGAGGAGAAGGCTTTATGCAAACATATTTAGTAATTATAATTTCTAGTAAGCAAATTACCTCTAATTTAAAATGGAGAATTCATTAAAAGAGTTTTGAAAAACTAATTTTAAAACATTGTTTCAGTTACCTCCATGATGTATTCAGCATTAAAATTCAGCATATTGAAGCACAATCATTAAATTATTTGAGTACTTAGTGAAACTCAAGCTTGTTACATGAAGCAGAAATGTTTCAACATACTGTTATGACATCTGAAGAGGAAGCTGCCAAACTACGTAAATATTCCTTTGCATTAGTTACCTTCCATGTAGCAGACTTTATATTCACTGTTCTTCCCCTGCTAGTCAGCGTACACTTCATTCTGAGAAAAAAGCTGCGCTCCGTGTTTTGCTCTTTGCCCTTTTTCACAGGACCTAGCAAAAGCAAACAGTAAACCAATTCTTAAGCTCTTGGATCATCTTCCAAAGGCATAAAAAAAATCCCCACATGTTGTAGAACTGTAAGACTAGGAGAAGATCCAAAAAAGGAATTAGAAATATTGATAAACCTAACAACACTTTTCAGAATGAGTCTTACTGTGAGGTAGGCAAAAAACTGAAGTTTCAATGTTTTAAGATCAGTATCGTATTTGTAGCCAACTCCACACTCCCAGATTTCATGAAAAAGGGTGGGGAGAAAGAGAGACTGTTTGAAAATTTAATGTATTTTAAAATTGTGACAGAGGACAGGAAAAGCACATGCAGAATGAGAAGTACTGTTGAGTTGGTTTCCACTGAAATGCATCAGTCACTCACTGCAGGAAGGATCAAATCAAACACGTTGTGGGCCCATAGCTCTGCAGGACTGCAGCATTTTAAGTTTATCAGTTCAGAATTAACAACTCTGCTGTTTACATGCATCTGAATATTTCCACAGTGACTTACACTCTTAGAGTAAACAGGGACCAAGTTTTTAAACATATTATTAGCATTCTTGGGGGGGGGGAGTCAATAAATCCTAATACCAATTAATATTAGCAGCACTAATTTTTTAGCCTTACTTGCTAACAGCAGGTTATCAGTTAAGTTTTTGCCTTTAAAGGGGAGAACCTTTCAGAGTCTGTTACTAGCTAGGCTATTCAGGGAGGGGGGGGCAAGTTGATCCTATCAAGAGAGCTGCAAGCAGCTGGCTGTGTGTGGAAGAAGGAAATAAAGCACCTAGGATAAGGAGCAGTGGAAGAGCGAGTTTGCCGAGGCGTGCAAAGGAGTGAGGACCAAATCATGGCAGAGGGTGGAAGTTTGGAACATGTGAGCCTACTTCTGATACAAGTGAATACAATGAAATAATTTGCTCTCATCCTCCACAGACTATGAAATTCTTCATGGTGGCTTGCACTGCAGCTATTAGTTTGACAAAATTCATTAGAAAAATGTTAAAGCCCTTACGCTACATCGTCCATTGCTTCTAGCACAAGCAAAGACCAACAGGGACAAGCCTCTTTTATGCCACATCAAAATATCCTTATATATAAATGGGGGGGAACAGAGTTCAGAGAAGCAGCCAAAACTTATTTAATTCAGTATGTTTTTAAAAGTTAAACCAGTCTAGAAATTCATAGTTGAAGATCACACAACATTACTGTTACCAAGTCCTGATGCTTAAGGCTCTGCTTTAAGCAGCAACTGTAAAAGATGGAGCAACTTCCTCAAGTCTGATTCAGCACTGGACATTATTTTTAAAATCGCCAGCTTTTAAAGTTTAAAAAGCAACTTCATAAAATCAGAACACAGTTCATTTTCTGCCAATCACATATTTATTCATTTGCACCTGTACAATCCCAAAGGGGAGTATTTAATAATCAATTCAAAACCAAAATAATTCCACTGATGTAAGAGGTGCAGTAGAATGCAACCTGGGAATACTAATAAATATAAAAACGTACTATTATTACCGTAATTTAGACTTTTGTCTGCCAACTGCATTTGCAAAACAGATTTTGTAATAATGCTTTCCAGACATCTTATTGCAGTCTGGTCAATTTAGACATGCATGAGGCTCAGTAATGTGACATTTTTAAGAATAAGCTTTTGCGACAAGACCAGTTTTTACACTGCCTTAGTGAAGTTGTGTGCCCCGACCACCCCCCCCCACACACCAAAACCACCCCCCCCCCCCCCCCCCCCAAATAAAGATCGGGGCTTTTAACATGGCGATCACCGGCTTTTTGCGCCTCACTGTCCCGCTCTTCTGCGCCGGCACGTGCGCACCTTGGCCAGTGCCGCGCCGCCCCTCGGCCAACAGACAGGGCCCGCAGCCAGCCAGGCACCTTGGCTCCGAGAAGCTTCTGGATGATGACCAATTACGACCACAGCTCGGAGCCGACCCAAGGTATAAATGGGGCGGTGCTGGAGACCCCCTTTGAGCGGTCTGCTCAGAGCAGCGGGTCTGTGTTCGGAACCTCTCCCCTTGCGTTGGGACACCGCCCAAGGAAACTTCCCAGGGCTCAGTGCCCTCACCTCCTTTTGGTGGGGGGCTTCTGGACATATCCTTGAGTGAGCCCTTGCCCCTTCCCCCCAGGTGAGCGATTACATCTTCCGGGTACCCACGAGAGAGTTTCCCCTCGTGAGCGAGCGTGTGCATGCATTTTGGATCATCGCTCCTTCCTCTGTGTGCTGACATGTAGTAACAATATCCCGACTGACACCTCGAACCCATTACGTGTTAAATGTTATCAGGGTGTTGATTGATTTCAGTTTACCCCTGTTTCTCACTGGTTTCTGTCATGTGGTTTTGGCTGTTTTGTGGAATAAAGTTGTTTGAGCTGGTCCTTCGTTTGGGTTAGTTTTAGTGTACCTCTGGGACACCCCCCCAGATGCGTTACTGTATTTCACAGCAGGGGGAGGGGGGAGAACTCTAATCTAGCCTTAGAAACATACTTCAATACGAAGGGCAGACAAGTTTAGAAAATGCTTCCAAAAATCAAAGTCGACGCCCTTAACGCCATGATATCTTATCAGGTCTCTTCCACTGAATTAAATAGAATGACAACATAAAAGACTTCTGATTTACAGTGCTACATAAAAACAGAGGTCAGGCTTGGTAATTATCACTATCTAGATTCAGAGTCCATATAACCCTTGTTTGATGAAACAGGAATTAGGTCAGATTTTAGGCTTCGAACAACTGAGTAAAGCAGATTTGTTTAGAGGCACGCAGGCTGCCAAGCCTTTATAGTCATTAACAAACTTTTAGAAGACATAAAAGCAGTAATTCACGGGCATTTGTTAAATTCAAAAGCATACAGAGTATGTGAACATGATGTTCTCCCTCAGATGGAGAAAAGAAGAGCCAGAAGTCTGTGAAAAGGTACCAGTTTCATGTACCAATTAAAAGGTGCAGAGGAGCATCAATCCCAAAGCCCTTTTGGGGGCCATCCAAGTATTCCCTGATTAGTTTTTCGGGGTCCTAAATATAGTATCTTTTTTGTGCCTTACGTATACCACCACAGATTTCTGGGAGAAAGCATTTGCTTTTAAGTTGTCCTGTAAGGGCAAGCCCAGACCAAGACAAATGCACCAATTTAACTTCTCCATATCCTTCTATAGCAATTGCTTAAGATCATTCTCATTCAGCCTACCTCTAATTTTATTCCTGTAGGCATGCTAATTCTTTCCACCCTCAATAACTCAGTTTTAGTAATTAATTTTGTTACAGATTAAAGAGTGCTAATGAAGTCTCATCTCTCCTACAATTAGGCTATTGCCAAAACATTCTGGTTATTTCTGTTGTTAGTATCTCTGAACAAGGTTTATTTTGAGATTGAAGCAGCAAAACATACTAGTTTGTTCTCTCAACACCTTTTTCTGGCAGATATCCAACTGTACTAATGCCAAGAGGAACTATCTACAAGTAAATTAAATCGATTTTGTTTTTCTTTCTTCTCACCATTTCTGTGTGTAAGCATTTCTCTCAGCTCTTCGTGGTCACACGGATGAGTGAAATCAAATACACTGTGCCCCGTCAACTCAAACTGCAAAAAATAAGACGTATACAGGTGTCTAACTTTACATATAGAAAAATGTAACAACTTTTCCTAAGAATGTTTCAAATCTGTAAATGTCAGTATTTCACCTGAGTGAGTCCCATACACTTGTTCACGTTTTCAGACATGTAAATCATGTCCCCATCTTCGGACAGAACCATGACAAATCCATCAAGGGCTTTCAAGTAGAAACAGTTCAGTTCCTTCTCCATTTTGGCTTCTGTCTCCAGCTCACCTACAAGCAGCCACACATTTTCGTTTGAGTAAACATCAGCCATTCTTCACTTACCATCAGGAATGACTTCTGGCACCCGTCTGCAAGGAGTTAATCTTGCAGGACTGTTCAAAACCAGTATAATTCACTTAGATAAATGATCAATTCTTCAAGCTCTAGCAATGGCATCACAAATCACAGAAAAAGCAGAGTGAGGTTAAACCTCTGTGTTTTTATGCATAAACTGATAAAACTTCCACCTTAAGGAACAAGTCTAGGTGGCAAAAATACTACCATTTATCTCAAAAAGGCATTACAAACATTTCTCAGGGCCTTCCTAGGAGGCATTTCAGAATACGGCTACCAAAGTTACTCCTCCATACAGTATAGGTAGGCATGCATGAGTACAAATAACCAGTACAGCATCCACGGCATGCTATACAGACACTGGTTCATAAGCTAGCTCAGATACTCCTGTAGTTGCACTGGAAGGTGTACTGCAGAGACAGACATGTCCTCAGCTAAATTCACCTTCAGTGGAGTACAAATTACCAAAAAATTCCTCACAGTTTGTATTGAAGGAGAAACACCTACAGGTAGCTAAGCCAGCCTTGCACCAACCACCTATTGTTTAGTAAAGCACAGTTGTAGCAAACAACTCTAGGGGGGGAAAAAGAGGGTTAAATGAAAGAAATTAACTATGGGAGAAGGGTCAAATAGCTGAGCCTGAAAATGGCACTATGGCTGTGATGACCCAGCTGGGATCACCAGAACAGAGAGGGGAAAAACAAAGTCCATTGAACAGTGGCCATGTTTTTAACTGTGCCATCACCAGTAGCCTATTTCTACTGTAAGGTCTTCTGCTTTTCCATAGAAAGGATGCAACTATTAATGTATTTATTTATTTAACTGCTGATAGGCTTGAGAAACAGCTTCTTCCTCAGTACACCTCCAGCCCCTTTTCCAGATTCTGTTACATTACTCGCTTACCAGCATCTAGCAGCTTTCTCATGCGCAAGTAGCTGATGGTCAGTCTCATAATGGATGCCTTGTCCAGGTGTGCGCTCACAGTGTGGGGCAGGGGCAGCTGATGAGCAAGCTCGTAGAATACTTCCGACTCCTTGCTCCTTCGGCACCGGGCTGCGTCTCTTGACTTCTCTTTCCTGCGTTCCGAGCTAATCCTATATAAACAAAGTTTGGGGTTAATATAGAGTTCTATGTGCAAGTTAAATTTGAAACTAAGCTGCCCAGTAGCCAATTAACCAGTTATCAAAGTTGAACAATTTAAAACCTCAGTTTAAAAGTGTATATGTAATTCTGTGTATAGAGTTCTGCTGCTCTGCCAGAACTAAATTGAAACCCGCAGAGTCTTCCATCAAGATCAGTTCTTCAAACAGATGTGTACGTACTCAGAAACATTCCTGAAGTGCGTATCTTGTACCTTGATTGCTGCCTCACTAGCCTCCAAATCCTGTTTCCTTCCTAACTCCTTAAGTCCATTCAAAATACTACAGCATAAGTTACTTCCAGTTCAATGCTCGAGTAGTATCGTATATACTTTCCAAGTTCTTCCCTTTTTACCATCCTTACAAAGCCCACCTAACAGGTCAGATAATCCAGGATATTGATTTAGCATGAGGTCTCCTGCTTTTCAAGTGATCCAAAAAGTCCCTTTCCCAGCTCTCTTTCTCCAGTACAGCTCCTTCCATAGTCTCCCTTACACTGGAAAACTCCAGCTGTTCAGAAGTTGCCTCATTCTCCTTCCATTGCCCCTGTTAGACTCACCTCCCCCAGGATGTGTGAAGTAAAGGACAGCTCACTAAGAGCAAGCACCAAAACAACTAAGACTCTCCACCAGTTGGTAACATGGATAATTCTCCCTTTTCCCAGTACCCACACTGGTTCACGTTTGTCTCATGCATGTCACATGAGTTTTGAACTAAGCATTTTGAGACAAGAACTCCAAATCTTTTTTCTTACATTTGACCAAGAACTCAATGCTGCTGTGGTCCCCGAGGAAATTATGCCACTGCAGTTAAATGTGCCTTTATTTTTAAATGGATGATACAAAAGCATACGGTATTGTCCATTTTTCTTTTTATACATTTATGTCTTCTGAAGGTACCCTATCTTCATTTTGCATATACCTGAGATACAAAAGGCAGTTGCACTAATCTGTAGGATCCCCTTTTTTCCATTGACTTAGATGAAAGCAGTAAGATTAAACACATGCTTATAAACACTGCATTTATAATTCAAAGTTGCATGCCATTTAATGTTATCATAAAGAGATTAACTGTCACTAGTTGAAAAAGACAGAAAAATAAACCACTGCATTATTTACTGCCAACAGTTCAGGAATTACTTTTTTCAAATTTCGCTACACTTAAAAGTCACATACTACCACTGCCAAATTCGTGTTGCTAAGTCTGCAGATCTGTGCAAACACGCTTTTTAATAGCACACATCTTGTGAGAGGTACCACAAATGATAGAGGAAAGCTATTCACAGGCTGATATTGCCTGGGAAGTAATGACCCAGTTTCAAAGTAAGCAGTCGAATACATACCCAAAGAAACACATTTTCAGTCATTTACCTGATGTGCTACCCACAATAGCCAAAAACCTGCTTAGTTTGTGCAGAAACACGCAAGTGACAATACTATTAAGACTGACATTGAAAGCCTGAATGCCTTGAAACACAAAATAAGTTTACTAAGCCCTGAAAAAGACAAAGTAAGCCATCAGAATTTCTGTGATTACCTTAATTTTTTTCCAACTTCATAACACTGTACAGCATCCCTCATCCACCCCACTCCCACCATCCTCTCCCTGACCCCGTGCCACTACCAGCAGAAGAATATGCTAGAAGCTTGATTTTCAGAGTCGTAATTATCAGAACTAAGAATAGGAGCATGTTTTCTCCTTTGGTTGCAAAATAAGGCTACTAGATCATAGAAATACTATTTCTATGTAATGAGAAACATTAATAAATCACCATAATATTAATGGAGATCTTTGGAAAACTAACTTACAGCTATTACAGTAGTAAAAATTCTGGACATAAAATAGTTCTATCTGTTTCTGTGAATATAAGTTTGTGTTCCTCAGAAGGGCAGCCTAAAATATCTGATAGTATTTCCCATCTTGCAGATTTTTTCACATTCAATTTCCCCGTGACAACAGATGTTCCTGCTCTAGTCATGGATTCCTTGGTCTGAGAAGCTTGAGGCTCCCGACATACAGGTATATCTGGAAACAGCCATTATGAGAAGTCTGACCTTTAACAATACTGAAAGAATTATTTTAACTATATAACCTGATTGATTAAACATGTCTTACTGAAGACAGGCCTCAAGTATCTTTTCTCTTGGTGGAAAACTAAGAGTGGAGGTGAAAAACCAGCTGGATTCTCTTTGCCCTCTTTCTTGGACCACAGATTTCACTGACAAAGGTAAAACAAGTAATTATGCTATCTTAGACAGATTCACCTTTATACCTCTGATTTTTCTTTGTTAGCCACTCATTCAAGATCCCTTCACCTGCAGAAATTTCCTCCTACAATAGAAACTCAAGGGAGAATTACTAGAAGTAATTGGTTTCCATCTGCCTAGATGCCTGCAGTTTTGTCACGGCTTCCTTTTCAACAGCAGACGCTCTTAAGTTAAAAACCCAACCTTTGGCAATAATGCTGTGCTCTTCAAGAGATGAAAATAGACACTAACCTCACAAGGTGCGATGTCAGCCCTTTCCTTTGTATTTTCATTCTGAAAGCTTAATGTTCATGAAAATATTTCAGCTAGTTTCTAGATTTTTGCCAGGTTTTAGCGTGCTTAGCAGCAGACTCCAACATAAACAGCCAAAACTTCTCACAACCGTTGAATTATTAATTACCGACTGAAACGCTGCTCAAATCAAGCTCATAGCGCTTCCGTTAAAAATTATTCCTGGAGTAAAAGAATCAAGTGCTGCCTGCTGGAGCGCTGCCTGACTGTGGGATGGACAAAACTCAAGAAGTGCAATGTTGGTACCAGCCGGTGCTGTGCGAGTGGCAGTCTCCTCTCCCTCTTACTAGGTATTTCCTTTCTAGAAAGGCTACTACTGTAGATAGATAGTGAAACTGTACAGCACAACAGTTCGCTATTTTTAGCTGCTGTTTAAAACTAAGCTGTAACCAATCTAAGCAAAACCCAGCAATTTAAATAGGAAGATTAACTACCAGCTCCAAAGAGTGTTTCTTTAATGGATCAAATTAATAGGGAAAAGGTCTTTCGCAAATGAGGTTTAATTACCAAGTGAAGTCAGAGTTGCCTCAACATGGGATGCCACCAAACAATAATAATAAAAAAAAGCCAAAAAAATTAAAATCCTTTACTGTTGCAACTACTTTAAGCTTTGTTACTTACAGTTGCATAAAGTAAATTAAAAAACACACAATCAGCATGTGTAGCTGCCCACAAATTTCTGTGTAGTCAATTAAAGGATGTTGAATTCCTGTAAAGAAAGTAGACTTCCTAAGTGAGCTCGCTCTCAACTGGGGGCAGGGGGGAGCTCAAGGAAGAGGACTTTAAACAGCAAGATGCAAACTGCCACAAAGTCAGCTTAAACATATCACATCATTTAAGAGATATTTTCAGAACTGCCCATGTGTAAGACTCATGGTCTTCACAACAGAAATACCATTATGTAGAGACAACAGGAACCCGAGCTCCATTTAAAACAAACCACAAACTTAAGAGCTGTATTGCAACCTGCTGCTATCAGTCTTGCACGAAAGAAAAACACCTAAAGACTCAGAAGAAAATCTCAGCCGAAGAGTGGATTATATGTGCCGGTGCTAGACAGGAAATTGCATGCTTTTTCAGGTATGATGTTTCCTGCACAATTTCAGTGCCAGACATTAATTTCCATTTTGTATTTCTGCCACCAGAATACAGAAGCAGAGAGCAATCCAAAGCAGGTTATGCATCATAGCTCACAGAAAGCAGTGTTTCACTGACAGTTTTAAACCCAATACTAGGCACTTTTTATACGTAAGAGATGTTTATATGCAATAGCTGAATAAACATCTGAGTTCCAAAAGATACTCAAGTTAGAGACCCAGAGCAAAAAGGTATTTCACCACCAGGATTCACCGCAGCTGAACTGAGAGCTCGGCTGAAGGGTATTACCCAGGCTCCCACTCACTGCCTCAAATCAAAAAGGCTTTAAAATGCAGCAAGGTGAATATAAACAAAGTTTTAGAGCAAGCAAGAATTGGCCCAACAGCCTTCAGAACAAAGCACACCAGCAGCAATCCCATGCACACCAGTGACAGATGTTAACACGGCCTCTCTACTCAAATGTGCAACTCCTGTCATTATGGTCATATAAACCATTTGGGGCAGAGCATCTCTCAAACAATATATTGTTCCCCATACCATCCCAAAGACCCCGCCACCCACCGTTGCGTATTTCTACAATTGTCTAAATACAGCCCACAGTTTTCATCTCCTTGAGTGTAAAACTAATCAATGGCCCCATTTAAAGCTGACTTGTTCCTGTTTATTTACCACTGGCAAGTAAGACTAAAAAGAACCCAGAAAATACCATCAGTAACTGATAAATTTAAATTAAAAATAACTAGATTAAAAATCGTCAATGGACAGATTTTTAAACGTGTAGTATGTCAACTTTGTCTCCTCCTAGCTTTTTAAATCACCCAGTGTTAAGGAAAATTTTACATTGTGTACACAATATTACATTAACACAAGAAATCAGGGGTTTCCCTGTATGTTGCTTTACTGCTGTTACCTGTGTTCCAGCCTTTCTCCCATTCTAACTTACTGGTTCTCCAATCAGGTAGATTTTGCCTTACACGTGTTTTCAACTCCCATGTAAAACAGCTGTTGTGCATGTATTAATTAATCCAGGCTCATCTTTCTTGATTCAGGTTTTGAGAACATTCTAAAAAAAAGTTATAAGCATCTTCTGATAACAATTCACATTTTTCTCTTTAGAATTGTTTTCTACAATCGAGTGGCTTTGTATTTATAGTGGTATCTGTTCTTTAACAGTTTCATACAAGCATACCATGTGGAAATGATATAATCCAAATTAATAATATGCCTCAAATCTGGTAACATCTCATTACTGAACTTTGAATAGTTTTCAGTTCTGCTGTTAATTCCCACAATT